TTCGATTCCTCCTCCTCCACCGTTTCCCCCCGTACCTCCGCATCTCAATTTACCTTCCTCGTTGCCGCGCTCTTCCTCCTGCCTCTCGTGCTCCTCCGCCTTCACCGTCGCCTCCTCCTTCTCCTCCTCCTCCTCCTCCTCCTTTTCCTGCTCCTCCTCTTTCTTCTCCTCCCGGTAGTGACCCTCATCATCCTCATCTTTGTCCTCGCGCTCCTCGTCTTCATCCTCCCCTCTCCACCTTCTCCTCACCCTTCTCGTCCTCCTCCTCCTCCTCCTCCTCCTCCTCCTCCTCTTCCTCCTCCTCCGCCTCCTCCTCCTCGTCCCCCCCCTCACCCCCTCCTGTCCCTCCGACTCCTCACTGATGCCAAGTATGCCCTTTCATTGGGCGCCGCTCCCTGAACGTCCCAACAGTCTGCTCCGACAGGACGCTCCCGCCCGAGCCCCCCCCTACGATGTGCCCCGGAACCGGGCTGCCGCGTCGGTGCTGGCGCCAGCCTCCTCCGCATATGGAGGCGAAGAAAGCGGGGACCATTACCAAGACCGAGCGCGGAAATTTGCTCAGATCTCGGTCGCCGTCGATCTTGGTCAGCGTCCTTGCTCGAGCAGTGGCGAAGCGTCCTGGCTTGCCTGTAGGCCCACCGAAGAAGGTTATAAGAACCTCTTGCGGTCTGCACGAAAGGTCCTTGTGGTCTGCACGGAAGGTTCTGCCGAGACCGTCCTGTTTGAACACGTTGGGCGTGTGCCCTCAGAACATGCTTCAGGCTCTTGGAACCTCCCTGGGCCTCTGAGCCCATGTCGTGGTGGGCCTAAAAATGGGAATGCGGGGGCGGCCGGTCCAGAGCCCCGAATCATCAGGGGTAACTCGGGTCAGGGCTAACTCGGGTTCGTTTTTCGGGATTCCGAACCCGACTTACCCCGGACCCGAGTTACCCCGGATATTTCGGGTGTCCAGGGCCCCGAATCATCAGGGGTAACTCGGGTCAGGGCTAATTCGGGTTCGTTTTTCGGGAATCCAAACCCGAGTTACCCCGGACCCGAGTTACCCCGGATGAGTCGGGCGCCCAAGGAGTCGGTCTCTGCTCAACGTCCTGGGCCATGACCAAGCTCGGCACCGACGAGGTCGCGCGGCAGCTCGGCGCCGTGGCCCCCGTGCCCTCTGCCCCCCCGCAGCTCGGGCCGCAGGGGACCCCCCGCCGGCGGGCTCCTCCCCCTCCTCCTCCTCCTCCTCCCCCTCCTCCTCCTCCTCCTCCTCCTGCTCCTGCTCCTGCTCCTGCTCCTCCTCCTCTCTTCTCCTCCTCCTCCTCTCCTCCTCCTCCTCCTCCTCCTCCTCCTCCTCCTCCGCTCCTCCTCCTCCTCCTCCTCCTCCTCCTCCCCCCCCCCCCCGCCCCCCCCCCCACCGCAGCCCGGCCTCGACGGCAGGCGCGTGTCTCACGGGGGCCGTGCGGGCCTGACCCCCAGGCTTAAAACGACGCGAAGATCGGGACAACATCGGATCGGGATAACTCGAAATCTCTGAGAATCGGCGGGTTTGGAGGATGTATTGGGCGCCGCGGCCGCTCCAGAGCGTTCCGGAACGCCCTGAGAGCGCTCCAGAACGCTCTGGAGCGATTTATCCCGATCCTAGCCCTGTTTTAAGGCTCCCTTGGAGGGGCCGAGCAGGCACGGGGGAGAGCTCGGAGGCCGCGGCTGCGCGCAAGGCCCAGACCCCCGACGCGCCACGACATGTGTGCCCGACGTCGACCCCTGGAGGTCTCGCCCGCTCCCCCCGGGGCCAGCTTCTCCCGGGGCCCCTCGCGAGGCGCAAGAGCCACGACGGGAGGTTCTGCCTCCCGGTCGGCCCCCGGGGGCCTCTCCTGGCCCTCGGGGCCGTCCACAGGAGCGACGCGGGGCGAGGCGCCGCTCCAGGGGGGGAAAAAGGGGGGGCCCAGGCCCCGCGGGGCCGACGCCCCACGCAGAAGGATCCTGGCGTCGGGGGGGGGGGGGGGGGGGGGGGCCGGGCCCCCCGCCGCCCCCGGGCCTCCACTGCCCCCTCGGATCGAGGCGTGGGGTGCTCCTGTTCTGCCGTGGGCGAGGCTGCCCCGTCTCGGGCCCGGGGGGCCTCGCGCGCCGATGCAGCTCGAGGAGTGCCGAAGGGAGGTGGGGTCTATATCTATATATATATATATAAAAATGTGTGTGTATATGTATATATACACACATAAATATATACACATATATATATATATATACATAGGGTGCCAGGCGTGATGGTTCACGAGGCTGCATATTCTCGCAGCGTCGGACCTCGTGATGGCTCGTGGAGGCCTGGTCATGATGCAGGCCGGTGCTTTCACGTGTCCGGCTCGCTTTGTTGCTGATCCTTCTCTCTCTCCCCTCTTTTCCTCCTCTTGGAGAGTGCGCTTCTTGCGCTTGTCGCTTGGGAGGGGCGATTTCTCAGTGCGGGTTGTGCCTCGCAGTGGTGGTACGCTCGCCGTGCGTCCCTCATGGCCCAGTGCTGCGGCGTTGAGGTGGTTATACCTGGGCTTGAGCTTGCCAGCCGTGCCCGTCGTGACTTCTGCGTCACAGTCGGGATGTGGCGGCGGTGCTTGTCTTCTGTCCTACGCCGAGGAGGGCTACGCCTCCCAGTACGGCAGGGAGCCTTGCCTTGCTGGGGGCTGGCCCGTGGGCTACTCACCCCTCCTCCTCCTCCTCCTCCTCCTCCTCCTCCTCCTCCTCCTCCTTGTCGCCCCCGCCTCTTCCTCGTTTGTGCCAATGTGCGGCGTCTCGCCTCGCCGTTGGATCGTCTGGGCTCTGGGCCCGTGAGTCCCCGTCGCCTCCCAGGCCGCCATGTCGGAGGAGGAGGAGGAGCAGGAGGAGGAGGAGGATGGGGAGGAGGAGGAGAAGGGGGCGGGGGAGGAGGAGGAGAGGAGGAGGAGAGGGGGAGGAGGAGGAGGAGGAGGAGGAGGAGGAGGAGGAGGAGGAGGAGGAGGAGGAGGTTCACCAGGCGTAGCCCGTTGGAGCGGTGCCAGGCCCCTGGATGGGGAGGGGGGTGCGCACCGGCGAGCTCCCGCGCCCAGCCCGGCGTGGGCTGTGGAGGCGCGGCCCGGACGCCTGGCGAGCGGCGCTGCCCCGGTTCCCCGGGGAGGGGCGGCGGTTTCTGGGCGGGGCGCCTCCGCCACTCACGCCTCAGCATGGCAGAGGAGGAGGAGGAGGAGGAGGAGGAGGAGGAGGAGGAGGAGGAGGAGGAGAAGGAAGAGGAGGAGGAGGAGGAGGAGAGTGAGGCGGAGGAGGAGGAGGAAAAGGAGGAGGAGGAGGGTGGGAAGGGCGGTATGACACCATCACCTGGCTGGCGCTAGGCCAGGCGCCGGAGTCGCTGGCTGGCGCGCCCCTGACGCTGTTGAGTTGCGCAAAGCGGAGTGCGAAACAAGTGGCTAAGTTGAAACATCTTGGAGGACATCTTGGGCTATCTTGGGCAGTCGTGGAGACACGATGGGCCATCTAACTTGTCGCCCCCCCTTCCGGACCAAGGGGGAGAGGGAGATGGAGGGGCAATTCCCCCCCGATGGGAAATTCGGGGGTTGGAATAGGAAACGCGCCAAACCACATCCGCGCAAAGGGCTGGCGGGATTGTTCCCAGCCGTCCTGCCTCCCGCGGATTGAGTCCGCAGCGCCCCGCGTCTCGTCTGCCCCCCGCTGCCCCTCCCTCTTGCCTCCATACTCCGCGTGCTCATCTCGGGACGCCCCTCGTGCGCGGCGTGGCGTGTGGAGCCACCAGGGCCCTGGCGACAGGGTTCGCATGGCGCCACCCCCGCCGGCTTCGGCATATGCCCCTCACGCCCGAGGGCCCCAGCGGCAGGGTCCACATGCCGCCGCCCCCTCGCCTGTTTCGGCACCCCTCCCTCCCTGCCTCCCTCCCTCCCTCCCTCCCTCCCCCCTCCTCCTCCTCCTCCTCCTCCTTTTCCTCCTCCTCCGCCTCACTCTCTTCCTCCTCCTCCTCCTCCTCCTCCTCCTCCTCCTCCTCCTTCTCCTACCCATCGCACGGTCGCGCCCCGAAAGAACCCCAGCATGCTTCTGCGCTCATGCCCCGCAGCCCCGTGCCCACATTGGTCTGCGTCGCGCAGTATATGTAAAAAGAGGACCACGCCATGCGTTTACGCGCATCTGCGTATCAACGTTGGGCCCGTGGCCAGGCTGATCGTGGTTTCGTAAGGCTGCACTGCACTGCGTCTTCTACGTTTTCCGTGCTCCTGGGTGAGCGGGCTTATCGGAAGACGACAGGTTTGCTACGGCAATGCCGTCCGCATCGAAAGGGGAGCTTGGTTACCAGGCTTGTGCGACGCTACCTGAGGGATGGAGCCGGGGCCACCAACCTGCGTCTGATTTCGCTAGCCCGCTCAAATTGATTGTGCCTGTTGGCGTGCATGATAGGTCCAGGCCCATCGCATGTGGAGTGCAACCTAGCATCTCTGCCGCACTACTCCGAGACTCGTCCAGCTTCTAGAAAGTCAAGCGAGCTCCAGCAGCAACTTCTTAGCCCTCTGCCAGCTGCCTCCCTGACACATCGACGCCCTGCTGGACCCAGCCGGTCGTCAAGATGTGGACGCCCCAGCCGCATGACCACCAATGGTCGATGGGTTGAACTTCTGGACTTGTAAGACAGGGCCAGTTTTGCGATCAAGATCAACGTCAATATCAGTCCTTGGACATATCGAGCCAGAGCCTGGCGTGTCTAAGCGTGCCGCAGCCAGCCATGATAGAGGGCGAAGCCCCATTCGGAATGCCCCCAAAAAAGGGTTTGACGCTTGGCAGAAACATTCGTGATGATATCCGTGAGGCGACGTGGGAGGATGTCTTGAGGATAAGAAGAGTCAGGGAAAGACCGCATGATTGTTGCATGTGTTCCAGGCGGGCTTCCATTTTGGTCATGGCAGAGTGCGTTCGGCTCAAGCGCTCAAGTTTCACCTAGGGGACGTCCTTGATCCGAGCTTCCACTGCCAATCGGAAGGTAGATATTGTCGTATATGCTGAACGGGCTACCACATGTGAGTTCTGGGCGTGCAGTGTCAAAGATCTCCGCGGGAACGGAAGCATTGAAGACCGACCTTTACGAGAAGTTGCCGTTTCATGAGAACAGATGGATGTGCCTTACTAAATCTATGACGGCCGCCCTTTGCTTGGAGCCAGTGGCACGCCTCGAAGTCACCATCGTGAAGGCGAAGGACATCGTACCCAATGCCGCCTCATTTGTCGGGTCTGCGAAGCAAGCCCCTCACCCGTTTGTCAGAGCGTACGTCGACGACGAGAGGCAGAAGGATAAGGATGGTCGGGTCAAGGAAACTGCGCACGTGAAGAACTCGCGAAATCCCGAGTGGAATTCGCACTTCGAGCTTGACATTACTGCTGGGAGGTCGATGGTCCGCTTCCATTTGTACGACCAAGATGTTGATGACGAAGACGCCAAAGACCTGCTCAAAGGGAATATGGCCGACGTCTCGGTTGCTGACAATAAGAAGAGCTCTTTTCACCACTCCCTCGGCTTTGTGGAGGTGTGCGTCGGGGATATGCCTTTCGATGTGGAGATCGAGGGCTGGTTGGAGTTGCGCTTCCCCGGCCAATTGCAGGGCATCAACGTGTTGCGTTATCCGTAAGGGCTTCGCCCCTTGCCGCGGGCCTTCTCCCTATCATAGTGGGATATATGACAGTCGCCTCGGTGCGTCTCGGCGCTGCCTTGGCGCATCTGGGAAAATCATGCGTGGGCGGATAGGAATCATCAGCGCATATTGAGACGTTGGCGTTGTCGAAGACGCCTACGGCGAATCACCGCCGCCCCCTCCAGTTTGGAATCGCCCAAGTGGCCCAGCCTTGTGGCAAGACCGCTGCCAAGCTATCGGACCATGTGTTCCCCCAACCGTTGTGGAAACCCTGGGGGGACACTTGAGGGAGGACGGCGGGAAAGATGAGAAGGATGAGGAGAATAGACGGGGCATGTTGGGAGCCTCGGGGGCACTCTTGGGGCCTCCTGGGAACTTCCTTGGAGTCCGCGGCATCTTAGGAGCCTCCTTGGGCCTCTTGGGGGCCGTTGGGGGTTTCTCGGGGGCCTTTTTGGCAGTCTTAGGGTATTTCTGGCCCGTCTGTCGCCGTCAGAAGCTGCATTGGGTGCTTCTTAGGGCCGACTTGGGGACCTCTTGGGGTGCTCACGGGCCGTACATGTACATACGAATCGACATGCCAGCATACATTCATCCATACCTCCTTCCCTCCCTCCCTCTCTGCCTACTCCCTACAGACACGCATACACACAAGCACACATACTTATATACACACAGCCATGCATACATTCCAACACACATGCATACATCTATAAATACGTGCAAACAGACATACATACATAGGCATGCAGACACACAAGCAGCCAGACATTCATACACACATGAATATAAATATATATATATATATATACATACATACATACATACATACATACAACCACACTTCAATCCATACATGCATACAGGCATGCATACACAGACCTGTACACATACCCATGCGCATGCACGTACATCTACACACACCAATGCATATGCAAATGCACTTACATGTATATATATATATATATATGGGTGTATATATATATATGTATATATGGATCCTGACGTATTCTCCCCTGCTGAAATCGACGGTTGTTTTTTGTGGTTCCAACGTCTTTGGGACGGCTTCGAGGGGCATCGGTACGTCTCTTCTCCACTCCTCTCCCTCCCCTTCCCATTCCTCCTTCTCATCCTCCTTCCCCTCCTCCTCTCAATCAGATTCCCTCATCGGGGGCGGAACCACGCAAAACCGCAGGAACAACCCAAACAACCAAACAACAAACTGAAAACCACATGCTTTCGGACAAACTCGAGCATCCCTCCCTCAGAAGTTTTCCCGACATCATGGTTGGTTTTGTTTTTGTGTGGTTTTTGTGGTTTGTCCGCTCCCCTCCCCTCCCCCCTTTCCGCTCCCCCTCCCCCTCCCTCTTTCTACCTCCCCTCCCCCCATCTCTCCCCTCGTCCTTCCCTCTCCCCTCATCCCTCCCCTCATCCCTCCGCCTCCCCTCATCTCTCCCCTCATCCCTCCCCCTCCCTTCTTCCACTCCCCTCATCCCGCCCCCTCCCTCCTCCCTCCTCCTCCTTCCTCCCTCGGTAGCATTGCATTCCATTGCATTGCAATCGCGTTGTATTGCAGTCGCACTGCGTTGCCACCGCATTGCATTGCATGTCAATGAGGGAGGAAGGGAGGAAGGTGGGAGGATGATGGTTCACATGCTCGACACCACCATTGTCATCGACAGCACCTCGAGAGTAGGACTCGTCATCAGCATCGTCATCGACAACATCGTGACTACCATTCTCGTCATCACCATCGCCATCGGCACTGTCTTGAAACACATGCTCGCCACCACCATTGTCATCGACCGCTTCTTGACAGTAACACTCGTCATCAGCATCGTCATCGATACTATCTTCAGGCTGACGCATGTCATCAGCATCGTCATCGACAGCATCGTGACTACCACACTCGTCATCACCATCGTCATCGACACTGCCTTGAAACACATGCTCGTCACCACCACTGTCACCGACAGCATCTCGACAGTAGTACTCGTCATCCGCATCGTCATCGAGGCAGGCTACGGGAACTATACCAAGGACGCGCTCTTGGCATTGCGGGGGCGCTACCAGGAGACGCCGGGGAAAGGCGCGGTCCCCCTGGGCGTCCACGCGATCGGCGGGCCGAGTCAGACGGTGGTCGCCGACGAGACCGTCATCTGCGTGCACAAGGAGGACGGGTGGACCGTCGAATCTAAGGGCATATCAGAGCGGGGCGCCAGGCAGCGCCGCCAAGCGCCCCGAATGACCCAGGGCGCCACTCGCAAGCTCGTGATGAAGGGCGTCCTGAAGAGCCAGCCTGCGCGCACGATATACCGCAACCAGGAGCCAACGAAGCGCGACTCGAATTACATGAAGGCGAGGAAGGGCACCGCGAAACCATGAAGAAGGCGGCCGCGAGGGTGGCGAAGAAGCCCGCGGCAAACCTGAAGAATGCTGGGCGGCGGCTGTGGCTGGCGATCCGCGTCGGGCTCGGGAAGACCGTGCGCACGCACGAGAAGAAGAACAATCTGATTGCTCATCGACTTCTTCCGCAGGCGGCAGATGCGCAGGACGGCGCGCCGCGTGGACTGGGGAAGATCAACGCCACGTTGGAGGAGAAGGTGGAGACGGGCACTTTCCGGGCCCACGACGGCTGGACGCCCACCACCGCTGCCGCGAAGGCCTTGGGCTACAAGAGCGCCCCGCCCGTGTTTCACGAGGAGAACTACCGCGACCCCGCCACTGGCTTCCACGCCAACGACGCTGAGTCTGAAAGTTCTCGGCTGAAAGGGTGGAACCGCCAGCGCTGCGGCCAGTTGCAGCTGGACGCGCTGGAGATGAGGAGTGCGTGTTCTGTGTGAACGTGGGCGACACTCTTGAGAGCATGTCCACGGGCCTCTCGCATGCCAGCGGGGGCCCGTGGCGGAACAGGCTGCTCTGACTAGTAGCCGCGGCGGTCTAGACGGGATGGTGAGCGTTGCTTGGTTGACATTATCCAAAGTCGTCAATTACGTTGAAAAAGGAACCGTCGATTTCAGCAGGGGGGGAACGCCAGCGCCCATATAATATATATATATATATATATATATATATATATATATATATATATGTATACATATACACACATACATACATATACATTCGCCGGCCGCGGCCGCAGCGCCGCCCCAGCCGCCGGCGGCAGCGCGCGGCCTGGGGGGCCGCTCGGGGGCCGCTCGGGTCGGGCTCTGGCTCGCGGCACGCGCCCGCTCGCTGGCCCGCAGCGCGCCGCCCAGGGCGCCAGGCAGCAGCGGCCCGCGACCGCCCGGAGTTCGGTGGCGCGGGCAGCGGCGGCCTCTGGCGGCGCGGCAGCTCGTCGCCCTCAGGCGCGGCGGCGCAGGCTCGCGGCGGAGCGGCGCGGCCGCCCCCCGCGTCGCGGCGCGCCGGCTGCGTCTCGGCGCGAGCCCGCCGTTCTGCTGTCGTCGGCAGTCAAGTGGGCCAGCGCGGGCTCGCGGCGGCGCGCGGCTGGCGCTCCCAGCGCCGCGGCGCGCTGCCGGCGTCTCAGCGCACGCCCGCGGCAGCGCGCAGCTGCCGTGCCAGCCCCTCCTGCAAGCCGCGAGCGAGCGCGCGGCGGGCGCGCGTGAGCTCGCGGGCCCGGTCGGCGTCGGGCAGGCGGCGCGCCTCGGCTTCAAGCCAGAGGCGCGCTTCAGCGCCCAGTTGCCCCCCTCGCCCCGAGGACAAACGGGCGAGGCGCTCTCCAGGGTAGCGAGCGTGCTTGTCCCGCTCCCCGCGCCGGCTCGCCTCGCCGTCGCGGCGGGCCGCGACCCGCTGCTCCGCTGGGGTGCCCGCGGCGGGGTGTCGCGCAGACGCGGCGGCCGTCCTTGTCCTGGTTCTCCAACTCGAGCACGGCGCGCGCCGTCTCCCTGGCGCGGCCTGGCCGCAGCCTGTCCCAGGGCGGGACGCGATGCTGGTAGAGCGCGGCCCCTCGCGCCTCCAGCGCCGGAGCAGCCCGCCGAGCCGCGGGGCCAGTCTGCCGCGCCAGCGCCCCACCCCGCCTCTGTTCTGGCAGGTGGCGCCGTGGTAGCCGAGATCGTCCAGCGGCCGCCCGCAGACCTCGCCGCTGGGCCGTCGCAGCCGCGAGCTGCCCCTGGTCGCACCCCGGGCGCAGTCGCAGGCGAGCTGCCGTCTCCCAGTGCGCGCCCTCAAACGAACAGAGCGCCTCGGTGGGGCATCGCAGGAAGGCCGCCGCGCCCAGCCCCGCTTCCCTTCGCAAGTTGGCCTGTTGGAGAACAGGCGAGCGCTGCAGGGGCGCAGCGTGGTGTGTCTTTTGCACCCTCTCCATAGCCAAGCCCTGCGAGCCAAGAAGTCAGGCAGCGTCCTGCCGTCCGCCAGCAGCAGCCCGGCAGCAGCAGCCCCTGCTGGGCTAGGCCCTGCCTCGCCTTCTCCAACTAGCTTGCGGTAGCTGGCAGGCGCTCGAAGGCGTTGTGCAGCGAGCCGCAGCCCAGGTCTCTCGCAACCTCTGCGGCCGCGCCAGACCAGGATGCGAGAAAGGCGGCGTTTCGCCGCGAGCAGGCCAGCTGCGCCCCAGGGCCGCCCAGGCGCCTGGGCAGGCCTAGCAGCTCCTCGGCGTCGTTGCCAAAGTCGCGCCGCAGTAGCGTCTCCCAGCAGCCAGCCATCAGAGCGTCGCAGCGTCGAGTGGCCTCTTCGCTAGCAAGCTCCTGCCGCAGGGCGCGCTGGCTGGCGGCGCCTGCGTAGGTTTGCAGCAAGGCCGCGGTAGCCTGCTTCTTCTGGCCCGCCTGGTGGAGCCAGTAGAGCGTGTCCCAGAGCAGTCGCAGTCGCAGGGCCGCCTTGTCGAGGCTGTCGGCGCGCGCCCCAAGGGCTGCGGTGTTGTCCTCCGAGCCCCCCCGCGGCCTGAGATGCTTGCCGCGCACTGGGGGAACGGCCGCGTAGCGGGGTTGCAGCGCAGGCGACATTGCCACCGCGCGGGGGCCATGCCGCCGTCTTCGCGTGGTCGAGTTCCAGGCCGTAGGGCCCC